GGTATGAAGTTAATAAAACTGGGCAGACTTATGTTTCTTCTGTATAATTGGGTACCTTTGCACATACTTCTAGGGTGTTGTGCAGAACCCTGTGAGCTAACTGTGCAAAGACGGTATGAGTCCACAGGGCTTATTAGCTGAGGCACTATGCTGTGAGAAAGCAGCTAAATTGCTTCTGAATCTCAGCTAGCTGGGGAAGCAACCTCTGCATTTACATACTGCTGCCCTTAAGCAAAAGCAACTGTGGAATGACCTTAGTTTCTCTACTTTCATAACCTGATAAACTGCCCATCAAAAAAGAAATGGTTTCTATATAAAGATCCCCATATCCAAGTTAATACTGAACCAATGTTCCTTTAAATTGCCTCGTAGGAACAGGACTTCCTGTACTACATGTGTAATTATTTAGTAAACTTTCACACACTTGGAGGTCTGAAACTGTCTCCCTCAGAAACAAATGGTAGGTTCTTCTATCTTAGGGAACAGTGATGAATTGGTTCCTGTCCCTTATAAACAGAAGACATTTTAAGCTTTAGCACTTTTCTGTCTGCAGAAAAACCTGCCAACCTCATAAACACCCTTCACAATCTCTCATATTAGTACTTGCCTATGGAGGACTGTTACTTCCCCAGGGTTTCCATTTATTTTTTGTTAGGAGGCTGTGCTTTAATCCTGGGCCAGTGCTGACATGGCCCAAATCCTGAAGATACTACAATAACAGATGGTGTCAGATGGCAGTGTCATTAACTGGTGTCACTTGAACTGCCATTTAACAGTGCTGTATTGGCTTGAGCCTAGGCCATAAAGAAGATTTGCTCTTTGAGATCCTCCAGATTGACTTCATGTTGAACTAATATCTCAAACTCATTTCTACAAATATGAAGGACAAGAAAGGGGCCTTCAGTGGATATTGTGGAGCCCTGTGATTGATATTTGGGTGCATGTCTCTTAGAAAAATTATTCATGACCTGCTCTAAGGCATCAGACAGAAGTCACATTTATCAGGGAAAATCTTCTTCTGAATGCACTTGCTAGCTTGATGCTTTTCTTTCCACACAGTGAAAGAAAGGAAGAAGCAATCAAAATTCTTCAAAAAGTAAATAACATTATGACAGGTTATAATATTGCAGTACTTAACGGGTATATTATGGCTTTCTGAATCATTGAGCCTTGAGGTATTCATGTGTGCTATCAGAAAGAAAAAATGCTGAAGAACATTACCATATTACTGAATACACCAGGGACAGTATTATTTCCTAAAATTGGCCAGTGTATGTGAAAAAGTAACATCAAGAACATGCATCTGGAGCAGTAATAGCTATGGCAACTATAGTCTTTCCCTATCAGCAAAGTAATATTCTGCATTTATACTGCGACCAAAGCCTCAGGACAGGCTTACAAGATTGGATGTATCTTCATTTCATTAATGGAAAAATTAAACGCAGGATTTTTGGGGTGTTTTTTGAAAGGTATGACAAGCTTGTGAAAAAGGGTGGGAACAGAACTAAAATCTGGTTTCTCCTTGGCCATTTTACATATAAAAATTTCAGTATTTGTCCTTGGAGGCATTACAAGGCATTCCACCTGAGCAGTTCTTCAGTGGTTAAGGAAGAGGGGGGAAAAAAATCATAGCTATTTCTAATGAAAAGCCCTAAGAAGGAGACAAAAATCACTGAATGACTTCCTCCATTTTCATAATCAAAAACCTATTTCTAATTTCTACATATGGCACTAAGCAGTAATATTTCGGAACCATCATTCATTCCCATGGTAACATGCCCTGATATTACAAGCAGTTAATTATGCCGTTGCTGTGTGGTACACAGTGTGGTTTATTTACAGAAGGAGATAAACATTTAATGAAAGCATCTTTGAGTATATGAACAAAATAAAACATGTCATCTTTCCTCATGCTCTATGCAAAAAAAAAATACGGTATTAGCAGATACCTGCTGAAACCTATAGAAATGCTCTTGGCAAAAAAAGATATTATCATTATAGAGCAAAGAGGAGATACTTCTAATTAAACAAAATTATTTTCTAAAAAAAAGGCATCATATAAAAATATACTTGGTATAACTGGATTTGATACAAATAGATTATTAATTACTAGGGATTCAAAACAGAATAGATGACTTTGTGGTCATTTTGACACTTCTCAGCTAAAATACACATCCCTTCTGTCATGAAGTAAATGCACCTGACTGTCATCAGGATGCCCCTTGCATGGGAAAGGACCTGAGAAAAGACAGACAAAAAATTTCTGAATTGTCTCACTGGAAACTGCAAAAAGAACATTCTGTACTTGTTTGACATTCTGATTTCTAGTGCCAGTTAAATAATTCTCTTGTGAATGGTCACTGGATATGCATTGTTGTAAGCTTACTAATGAAATGCAAAGAAAACATACAAAAATAAACATTTCCTGATTTACCTACAGGATAAATCCCTCTGTTTAAAAAGCTGTTTTATCAAATTGCAAAGGTTATAATGGATTTTCACCTCCATCTATCACTGTATCACTAATGTGATGCTACGTTAAAAATGTTTAAAAAGAGGAATGCCACATAAGAGTAGAGATGACCTTTCCTTTGCTAAGTAACCACTTTGCTGAGCCCAGTGCTGATACAGCATATCCGGATCTGATTAAGCCACTTCAAAAGGTGCATGAAAACCCTGAAGAATTCAAAGGAAGATCACAAAAATGATCAGATCCAAAAAGCAACCCGTATAAAATGAATCTTTAAATGTCCTTAAAAAGACAGTGTTGAGAGACTACTTAATGACTGTGTATAGGTAAGCTAAATGAGGATTTTCAACCTTGCTATCAAGAATGATACAAGAGCCAAAAGCTGAGTGGTGAAGTCAGAAAAAATCAGCCTCACAGGAAGAAGTAATATCCTTAAAGTTAAGTGTCAGGGCAGATGACAAGAGGAGTCATATAACTCATCATTATCTGCTCTGCAGTCTCTCAAATGAAGCGATTTTCATGGGTAAGAGATACCTGGGGGAGAATCAGACCAGCTGCAGTAGCAGCCCCTGCTAACTTTTCCCTTAACCCAGAAATGGAAGAGATTTGCTCCAAGGTTTATCTTGCTGTTATTCTCCAAAGCCCCGAGCAGTGGATGGACACTGGAGATAAACCTCAAGGGGTGTTCTGTGATGCTACAGAGAATCCATTTTCTTCAACAGCCTGCTGGCATGTGCTGCTCAGATGAACGTGATGGACAGATTTCAGATTATAAGGGATTTTGCACAGGTCAGACCATCAGGAATCCTGGTGCTTTTTTCCTGCCTTCCCATGGATCATCTGCTGGCTGATTTGGGGATACCTAATTTCACCAGTTTGCTACAAGCACAGAAGCTGTGAAGGTTGGTGGTATCTCAGTCTCCCTTGTGCTCAGTTTATTGTGTGTAATTGTTAATCTCTATAGGATTTAAACACATTAGTGTAACCCAAACTTACAAAGTTAATAGGCCATGATGTTAACAAGACATGCAGGAGTATTCTGAAGAAGTAACTATAGTGGGACTTAGAAGAAACTAGGCTGGAAGGCTCTGAGAGCACTGCAGGAGTGCCATGGTGCAACTGTAGCCCCAGGTGTATACGGAATGCCTGGCCTGAAAGGGTAACACATAGCTCCTGGGATACTATTGGCCCTAAATGTTTTTGTTTCTAACATACCCAGGAAGAAGAATTTAACACCTGGATATTATCACAAATCTTTTGCTTTCACTTCATGGACCCAGCACCAAAAGGCTGACTATTCCAAGTGTCTTTGTCTGCGTTTATTCTGATCTCTAGTCCGGGGCTGTAGCTGGTGAAACAATTATGCTTGTACTTGAACTGATACCCCTCCTAAACACTCATCTTCTTTCATAACGGAAGGAATCTTCAGCTTTTCTTCTTGACACACTAATCTTCTCCCCATCATTTCAGTAGCTCATAATTTATTCCTTTTGCTTGCTTCTAGACTCATCACTGCTCATGCACCTTCACAGAAGCAATACAATACATCAAACTAAAGCTGCTGGGGTTAGAGGTTTACATTTGGTTTTTGAAGGCTGTGTCTCCAAACCTTCAAGTAACACCATAGCTTCACCTAGGCTCATAACAGTGGCTACTAAAACACCCACAAAAAAGAAAATGTAAATACAAGTATAATATGGCTTTCACATCTGATGTTTTTGACCTGGCAAACTCGGGTATCATATACTTAATTCTACCCACTGAAAGATTCAACTTTAATTTATTTTGTTTAACTGTTGCAGGCTGTAAAGAAGCCTTGAAATTATTGCAGTTGGGTCCTGATTTCTTAACAGCAATGCTTTTTCACATAACTAAATATACTAAATGTCAGAGTGCTGTTCAATACAGTTTAAAAATGCTGCTTTTATCAAAGCATATCTACGCATATTCACACCTGAGGTGATTGAAGCTCTTTATTTATTTTCTCTGATGTGCCTTTGCAATATCTAAGTCAAATTTTAGGTTAGAGTCTTTGCTGACTCTTTTCCCAATGTATTGACTTGCATCTTACCATATTCCTCCTGGCAGAGAAATATTCATAGACTGTGAAGATGTTCACTTAATGAAAGCATATTAATTTTATATAACTATCACTGCACCCATCAAGTACCATTCTGGGACTGTTGAACTGCAAATGGGCCTAAAAAGTGTAAGCTCACAGGCTGTGAGCTCCACAATATTCCTTACAATACAAAAAATCTTAGAAACAGACAGGGCACCTATGCCAAAATGCCTCTATGATTTTTTTTAGCATCATCAGTGGATATCACACTCCCAAGTTTAAAACTATGACAATATAAAGATACAGTGGTTGGCAGCATTAACAGAAAACTGGGTACATCAGATCAATCTTCTTCATGGCTTATATAATAATAGGTACTGTATTACATAAATATTATTTTTGTTCTAATACAAACATGAAAAGAGCCTTCACAAAGATTTACAGGTTAATACAGGGTACCACACTTACCAAGATGTGTGTTCATCATCTTTGCACAGTATTTGCACATGGCTTCCAAGTCGTTTAGTTGTCCTTGTAGGAATGAAATCTGGGCCTCCAATTCCTCCTCCTACAATTAAGAGATTATTAGCATTAAGCCCCCTCAACTTTCTATAATACACATTAAAAGTGGCAAGCTAACCCCAGATAGCTTAAACATCTTCTAATTTTTCCTAATCCTTGGTTCTTGACAAAATCATGGAAATAAAGAGCATCACCTTCTAACTGTATCTCTCAAAATAATTTTAAATTCTTTTGTCATTTCATGGCAATAACAGGCTTTGGTTTCAATGTTTCAGTGTTTGTTAATACTACTCTTTTTCCTTCTAAGAAGTCAAATAAAAATCTCTCTACATGGACCCAAGACAGTTGAACAATTTGTATTTATTTGGCAGATTAGCTATCTGGTTTTGCTTGTGCAAACACAGTACCACAGTACCACATTACCCCAGCAATGGTGGTAAAAAACTCACCAGATGAGAAAACTTATTTCTGGCAGAGTAATTTCCACAGCAATTCCTTTGAAACCTCAGAATTATTATTTTTTATCATTATTTCAAAACATATATTTGATAAGACCTAATACCATACCTTAAGGATGCATTACTGCCAAGTATTTTGGCATATTTACTTTTGTATCGTGCTCTATCTGCATGAAAAACCTGCACTTCTATACATCTTCTGTAATATTCAGGCAAAAACTCATGTACTGTAAGTGATTACTCTAAATGATCATGTTATGTTTAAAAGCATTGAGTAATTTAGAATACGAATCAAAAAATATTCTTGATTTTAATGCTGAAGAGAAACATTATTATCTAGTCACATGCCCTGGCTAAGCAATGGGAACTATCTCAGCTACGAATTCCTCTTTGAACTCCTCTGTTTGCTGGTTTAGAAATGCATCCAGTCTTGACTTTGAAGGCTACTCTGCAGAGAAAGGTCAGCACTCCTTTGGAAAAGTTCCTTCGAAGCTTAGTCACAAACAGTATTATGCAGTTTTTATGTTTGCTTAAGTATGCAACTGAATTCAAGATATTCAAATAAAAGAAAAGTAACTGTTTAGTCTCTCATTTTTCTTAGTTTTGCAGTTCCATTGTAGCCTTGTTTGATGGAGACTGCTGAACATCAGCGTGTGAATTACAGTTCAAATGAAAAAAAAAATAAAATCCAAAACTGATCAGCAAGAATAAAGAGAATGAACCAATCTTGATCTAAAGATTACCTTAACCTCCTCAGAAACTGGTTGAGAGCTAAGGAACGGAAACTTTGTACCAATGCAGCATATATACAAAAGCAATTGATAAATAGGAAGAAATTTAACAATAGCATTTTGCAAGA